ATCATCAATGTTTATTTCAGATCTCTAGTAAAATTATAATTGTATTTTTTTATCAAAATTTATAGAAAATTTTCATACATTGAAAGGTATATTCATTTTTATTATAAGCCTTTTACCTATTGTGCATCTCTTGTACTTAATTTCTCTTAATCCTTTAGCCTTCTGGCAATTGTATTTCATTATAAAATGTATGTAGTAAATTAACTGTAAAATATATATTTTTAAAAATATCTTACAAATTCTCTATACACGTATTCTCAGTATACATTTTCAAAAATTTAAGAAAATGTACTCACTTATCACAAGATGTAACATACTTATACGCTTTATAATAAAAACTATAAATCATTCAATTTTTTGAAAACAATATCCATTTCAGGTCTATTTTGTGCCATACGATTAGCACACCATTTCCCCAAAAGTATTAAATTATTGTATACCTGTCTATCCTTCTCACCTGCTTTTTTATCTATCAATAAGTGAAGTTCTCTATCATGCCAGTGGTCAATAAAATCTTTTAAAAATTTATTTTCTGATCTAGAGTCGTCGTATGCTGGCAAACCGGTAGCTAATTCAAATAAAACTATACCAAAACTATAAGTATCTACCTTTGTAGACAATTTTCGTCCGTATAAAAATTCTTCTGGGAGATATGGCCTCGTTCCATGAATTTTACTCACCTAAAACAAATGCAAAGACAAGATGTAGAATATTAAGTTATGTTATAAATAAATATTCTTGTTTAGGCATGCATCCTACTTTCTGTTAATTTAATTCTCTTTGAATCAATTTAATTTAAACCTGCACCAGTCTTATAATTCTATCATGTAATAATACATTTATCAAAATAAAATATGGATTTACTTTCATGGAATCTTTCTCAGGTCCTTCCCTTGCTAAACCAAAGTCACCAATTCTTGGTTCAAAATTCTTATCAAGTAAAATATTAGCACTTTTTATATCTCCATGTATCAAAGGCTTCTTTCCAATTGTATGTAAGTACTGTAACCCACGAGCAGTTCCTTTAGCAATTCCATGGCGCTGTATCCAACTGAGTGGTTGACATTTTTGTTTTATCAACAACCTGTCTTCGACAGAGCCATTCTTCATGAGCTGATATACAAGGCAAGGTGCTTTGCCACCTAAACTGTATGCATATAGAGGTAAAATATTTTCATGTGGATAACGATTTAAAATTTGTATCTCCCTAAGAGATTGCTGAAGTTGAAGTACATAACTTTCATCTGAATTAGCTCCCCTTTTTTCTATTTTTTTAATAGCTACATCTGTATTTTTCCAGATACCTGCACAATAAGAAATCAACGAAATAATAACACTCTATTAGAAATTACATAACTGTATTATAAAATTACCTCTGTACACAGTTCCAAAACCTCCTCTCCCTAGTACGTTAATCTTATTCCAATCATTTGTAACTACAGACAATTCGTCATATGATGCGTGTGGCAGAGTAATCTCTGCACAAGGTAATACTGCATCGTTATTATTTTCTCCATTTACTGGATTGTGCTTTGAAGAACCTGGTAAATGATATGGAGCTGCTACAGAAGCGACAAGTAAATTATTTGAATTACTTGGTGTAATTCCAACCTGTTCAGCTTGCATTGGTTGATTCAATATTTTATAAGAAGCTTCCTTAGTATTTGGTTCGATAACAATTTTAGGTACATTTGGTTGTGGTGGTACAACTTGATTAAAATTCTGAGTACCAATCTTCAAATCTTTAGTATTCTTATTGAGTCGCTTCCCAAGTATTCTATGAAGGTTACCTTCTCCATCATAAATTAATTTATGAAATTTTTCATCGACAAATGGTTTTAATGGAATCATTGATTGATAGTGTTGCATTTTGGATAATAAAACAAACAATTCTAATATTGTGTGATTATGATGGCCCCATATTGTTAATAATTCATCTGTTGGATTTTTCTCTTTACGCAAACTCTGTATAGTCAATACGTCATATCCCATCCAAATTCCTGAAAAAATTGTCTACAATACTTTTAAACGTAGGCAAATCTTTGAACAAAATTATAGTATTATTACCAGCCAATTCTTCCCACTTGTCATGTTGATTGAGCATTTTACAAAGTTCTAATCGTTCGAAAAACGGTAATTGATAAATATACTTGACTTTATCAACACTGCTTGACGAGGACATACTGCATCACACTATTTCTATCTGTAAATACTACAATTGTATATGAAAATACAACAAAATTGTTAAATATGAAGTATGACTCACATCATATGTACAAAACAAATTTTCCTTTTAAAATGCTTACAACAGCACCACCTGCTCCAATCTGTTCAAGCTTAAGTCACAAAGTCGTAAACACATGTTACGTCACAACTGTCACAAAGCCACAAGTTGCCAAGCAGGAAGAAAATTTATCGATAAGATTGGTATGTTGGTATGACACGGAGGACACAAACTGCAGGAACCTGCACGCCTCTATTGACAAACATTGAAATTAGCGTTACCACGCTGATACTTCTAACGAATGCACAGGATAATCTTTCCCCGTTCTGTTAGAGTTAAGTTATATTGTATACATTTCGCTGTTCATTTCAAAAAATATCTTATCGTTGTATGTAAATAAGTACACTTTAAATATTCACTTGAATATTTTGATTTTAATTGATTTCGTTTTTTCCACTCATAATAGAACACACCAGTGGCTCCATCTCGTATTGATCAGGCAGCTACACATCTGTAGATAAATGCTATTTCTACTCTACAACGAAAACAGTACAGCAAAGTCACGTGATTACACTAGCCCCTCAAGTGAGCGTTTTATAACACCGCGTACGCCATTTTGAAAACTGAGTCGCACGCAAAACGTTGTATATGTTGTGAAAAAGCGGCTTTTGCATGCTTTAAAAAACACAACATTCTGATTTCAAGACACCAAGAAACCATCGATAATGGCGGAATACTTAGCATCAATTTTTGGTACAGAGAAAGACAAGTATGTAAAAATTTTCATTTGATGCTTGTTTGAATGTTTCGTTGAAAAGCTCAACGTTATTTCATTTTTGTATCATTACAGAGTAAATTGTTCATTTTATTTCAAAATCGGTGCCTGCCGACATGGTGATCGATGTTCACGTATTCATAACAAGCCAACTTTCAGTCAGGTAAAGATATTTTTCTTAACCTTTTTATTCTGTGTGACTTTCTTATTATTCCTAATGAGGTATCATTTTTCTCTACTAAAGCTCTCTATGATACGTTTAACACATCTGTTAGATACAATGTTTCCTCTAATTTTTTATTAATAATATATATATTTCGTTTGTTGCAGACATGTTTGTTACAGAATCTTTATGTAAATCCGCAGAATTCTGCGAAAAGTGCAGATGGATCTCATTGTAAGTATAATATAAATATTACGCTCAGTTTGTTTAGTAGCATGAAATATATCATAACTATATCCATAGATAAACTGCATTCAATTGCTTGATTAAACATTTGTGATCAAATAATTATTTAATTAAAAAATTAAAACTCAATTTTATTATACATTTATACTGATAAACATAATCTCAACATTTTACATAGTTTATGTAATCTTATAAATATTATTTTATAGTGGTTGCCAATGTATCTGATGAAGAAATGCAAGAACATTATGACAATTTCTTTGAAGACGTTTTTGTTGAATGTGAGGACAAATATGGTGAAATAGAAGAAATGAATGTTTGTGACAACCTAGGAGATCACTTGGTTGGAAATGTCTACATTAAGTTTCGAAGGGAAGAAGATGCGGAACGAGCTGTAAACGATTTAAATAACAGATGGTTTGGTGGAAGACCAGTTTATGCTGAACTTTCACCAGTTACCGACTTTAGAGAAGCTTGTTGTCGTCAGTATGAAATGGGGTATGTTTTTAAAAACTGCAATGATTGGATTAATTGTGTTTGTAACCATTTCTTATAACATACTTGTGGCAATAGTTAGAAAAACTACCAGATAATTTACAGATTCGTTATATTCAATATTATTTCAGAGAATGTACGCGTTCCGGGTTCTGTAACTTTATGCACTTGAAACCAATTTCTCGAGAATTACGACGCTACTTGTATAGCCGTAAAAAGGGTGGCAAGGGACGATCGAGATCACGATCACGGTCTCGCGGTCGCGATCGCAAGAGAAGATCACGATCCCGTGATAGGAGATCTAGATCTAAAGATCGTCGAAAAGGTAGAGATGATAAGGGCAGAGATGGACGGTCTGGGAGGTATTAACTATAATTTCCATTGTAATAATTCCTGATAGAAGGATCTAAATCGAGCTATTATCCTTTTGACTACCTTGTCAAAGAAAGTGTACTTGACAGTACATTTTTTAATTTTCATTTACTAATCGTCTAAAAAAACTGATAACATTTAGTTTCTTCACTTAAGCATTACTAAGTTGTATAAAACAGATAAAACGAAAAATAAGATGTGTACTTTTCTATAAAGAAATAAAATTTAATGCACACATGCTTGAGTTTTAAATATTATAGTTCAAGTATTTAGTAGCGTAAAATTATTTACTTTACGATTGTTTTAGAATTAAAAGTAACGAATGCCGCTACTGTTTGGATGTTACACATTGACATCAGTAGAAACAATTTTCCTTTACTTTCGATTAAACTAAACAAATTACCATATAACTATAAGTAGATATAAATAAACTTAAAATTCTTATACTTTTTAATTTTCTGTGCATTATATATGGACATTGTGACTGTATAAAGTTATCACAGTATAAAAGAAATTTTGCATGTGTAATAACAAAAATAAAAACAACTGGAAAATTATGCTTACTGCTTTTTCTTAAATCCAAGTAAAAAAAAAGAAGGTAATGTGTACTGTGACACACGTACATGCACGCTTGTAATGTCTAAATGCGCGACGATTACTTTTACGAATCTCTTATTATATTTCACATCATTTTCAACAGGATGAACAGGCTATATCAGTAAAGTGCAATAAATTATTTCAAATACTCATAATGTTAATGTTGATAAAAAATATTTATTGGCAGACTAATACCAGATTAAGCTTCTATGTTTCCATCAGGCTTTAAAAATTCTACAGAGATTTCTCAAACTTCTTTCCACAAGCAAACATTGCTAATTATATAGGCCAAGTTACATTACATGCTACACACTGGAAAAATTCGTATAAGTGTTTTATACTTTATTACGAACTGAAATTATTAATTTTAAATACTTACAACTCATAAAAGGAGCATTTATAAAAATGATTTGAAATATGAATGCAAAACAAATGTAAATCAAATATTACGTGGTAGGAAAGAAATTCAAGACTATAATCTCAGACAATAGATTCTGTTCACACCCAGAATTTAAAAAAAAAAACTAATATTTAGAAAATACTTAACGTATTTCCCTTTCGGTGAACATATACAGGTCTAAAAAATGAAATGCATAATTCCAAAGAAACATTTGTGAAAAAACATTTTACACAATTTAAATAAGTTATCCAAATTTTTTTACAAATAATGTTAGCATTATCGAATGTAGATCGAATTGTAAGTATGCTTTAACGTTGTAGCTGCATGTATAAAATTGTGATATGCGAATATTAATGAATAACGATGTAATGGGATACACGCAATCACCATTTAATACAATCGATATTATCTATCTATCTATGAACTATTGCTTCTTACTTCGAAATGACACGAATTTCTTAACAACTTCGTTAACGTCATTGCATCGATGCACATGTATACATCACAATGTACTCGTGAATATCACGGATAAAATATATTATGTCAACGTACGTCTTACGAATGAATCGGTTTTCATTTTTTTCCTTTTCAATGCCGACAATATTAAACACGCATCCATCTGATCTTACAATGTTCACCACCGTCTATAATAGACAACACTTAAAAACCTTTCAATAATTTCACAGGAATAAAGGTATCATATTTTGCGGACATTAAACTATAATATACAATAGACGCATTTATGTTTCCTTTCCTTTCTTTTTTCCAATGACTATTAACAATTACCATTATATAGTGTAAAAAGTATATTAGATGGTAAAATTAAGTCCGACGGAAAAAGACATATCTTGTAATTTATTCTCATCAGAATTTCTCCAAAATATACTGTATACAATATTTTACTTTACGTATAAATATATACAGTTTTGTTATGAAAGCGCACTAGGTATCGTTTAGTTACTCGGACATGAGATTGAGCAGTGCGCAACATTCTACCATTTATATGTTTCAGAAGATGCACTACCTTCTTTAGCGTAGTTTTATTTTATTTTTTTCTTTCTTGTGGTAGTATAGTGCTCGTGTTATCCATTTACTTTTGCGTCCAAGCACAGAGGTATAAATTGATTAATTAATTTCATCTCTTAAGATAACTAACAGCTTTAGTAATGTCCTGCCCACATCACTTGTATCATGAAAATATTTACACTGTTTAGATTACTAATTAATGATTACGATATTCCATAGTAAGTTTAGTAGGATATGAGATCATTGTTTAGGGGGGCTAATCAGCATAAACAATGAACTGTTGATTATCCACGTCTGCAACTTCAACTTGAACAAATTGAGGTTGTTGCAGTTGAATTTGTTGTACTTGTCTTCCAATAGCATTGCGTGATCTATAAATTAATATTAAATGTTATCAGTTTATGTATTTATCACGTTTTATAATATACATTATAAATTGGTATTTAGGAAAATAAAATGTATACTTACTTAGCTTTTGCATGTGTTAATATGTGTGACTTTAAATTCGTTGATTGTGCAAACTTTTTACTGCATCCATCGAATGGGCAAACATAAGGTCTGTCTCCAGTATGAATTCTAACATGGGTACGAAGATTAAAGTCGAGGCTAAACCTTTTCCCACATCCTTCAAATGTACATTGAAAAGGTTTCTCTCCTGTATGAACCAACTGGTGCCTCTTCAACTTAGAACTTTCAACGAAAGCTTTTCCACACTCTGCACAAACATGTACCCGTGGTCCATGAGTGTGTAGATGTTTACGCATTGCACTGTTGTCTCTAAACATTTTTGTGCATCCTTTGTGCGGACAGGCTATAGTACGTTCAACACCATCTAAAACAGGTGGCTTGCGTACTTTCAATTTGTGACCAGGTCTAGCAAATTCAGCCAATTGTTTTGGATCCGACAGGTCAAGACCTGGCATTCCATCAGAAATCGAGCTTCCAGAGTGGTTGAATTTGGCATTGGATTTACCAGTCATGTATTCTGTGTAGTCTGGATCAGGCTCTGGATTTGAGCCTTCATCTGGAACATCCACCAGGTGAGGAGCTAATAGGACACTCCCTTTAACAATAACAAACAAGCAGTCCCAAACAAAAGCTACTGTACTTATTTTTGGTTACGAAGATTTTATATTTCTTTTTTTGTATACTTAATAGTAAAAGCTCTTTATTCGTATAGTAAAGGAACATTTAAAAAAATTCTGCAAACTATGCAACATGAGTATATCGAATGTAAAACCAAACAATACATTATAAATCTAAACATTTTATAATTAATACACTTTCTTATAAATAAGTAAAAAATCT